TTAAATTTAGCATAGTGTGTTTGGCTTAAAACTAAACTTTGTTGGTTGTTTTTATTGTCGTAGGCGGGTTGGTATTTTGCGTTGTCGCAGTGGTTGTTGTTGTTGTGTCGTTTCAGTTGCTGGTGTCTGCTTAACTTCGGTCACATTTGGATTTGCGGCTTTTGTAACCAGGCTCAGCCGTCACTGTGGGTTTCGGAATAGGTAATGCGTTGATTGATTGCCTTGAAAACCCTGGCGGATTTTCGCGTGGTGTGTTTGTCTCCGGCGTCTCTGTGTTGTTAGTTACCTGTTCTCCGTTTGCTGTTGTTGCTTGCTCACTGTGGGCTACTACTCCCGATCTCCTCACTTGATCGGCATGCCTTGTCCATATGCGACCGTCATCGAGTCTCACGTTGTAGTGTAAATCGCCTTTACACGATTCGACCACTCCGAATCGCCACTTCCTCTTTGAGAGATAATCGCGTACTGCTACTCGATCACCGCTCATCATTCGTTTTTGCGTTGGCTTCATTGCTTGATTGTTGTTTATTTGGTTATTCTGCGGCAGAAGTAAGTCCAATCTGGATTGAATCTGCCTGCCTAGAATAAGCATCGACGGTGACTTGTTTGTCACTGGGTGAATGGTACGCCTGTATGCTAATAAAATTTTTGATAATTCCGCTTTCAATGAGTCTGCTGTGCATTTTGCTGCAATTAATTTGTGTTTGATGGTTTGTACATAACGTTCAGCTTGGCCGTTTGTAGCTGGATGGTATGGCGCACCTTGTTTGTGGGCAATGCCGTTGCACTTCAAAAAATGTTGGAACTCACTCGAATTAAATTGCCGCCCATGATCACTCACCATAATGTTCGGGATACCAAATTGCGAAAATATTTCCCGACATTTTTCAATGGTGGTTTCTGTATTCATATTAGGCGTTACGTGTACTTCAGGCCACTTCCTGTAGGCATCGATAAGTACGAACAAATATTTGCCCATTATCGGGCCGGCATAATCTATATGGACCCGTTCAAACGCTTTAGTAGGCGTTTTCCAAGTGTGGCCTGGTGGCTCCTTTTTTGGATTGGGTCTTGTAGTTTGACACGGTACACATTTCTGTACTAGCTCTTCAATGTCTTTGTCTAATTGGTTCCACCAAACATAAGCTCTGGCTAGACTTTTCATTCGAACTATGCCGAAGTGTGCTGTATGCAATTCGTCCAGTACTCTTTGCCTAAGACTCCTAGGGATATACGCACGTATTCCCCGCAAGATACAACCATTGTGTAGTGTGAACTCATGTTGGTCAATGTCAAAACGGTCTTTTGGTTCGCAGATTCGGCCGTATCTCAAACCTTCTAGCAAGGATTTAATCGATTTATCCGCCTTTGTTTCTCGTTGGAGATCGGTGACGGTTATTGGTAAATTATCCAACAATTCTTCTTCCACCATGTACACCTCCTCTGTGCATTTGTGTTCCTCTATGGTTGGCAGCCTTGACAGCGCATCTGCATTAGCGTTGTCTTTCGAACGCTTGCATTTGATAACGTAATCGTACTGTTCAAGGAATAATGCATAATGTTGCATACGAGTTGCTGAGTGGGTTGGTATCCCCTTACTTGGTGAAAATATTTGCGAAATTGCCCGATTATCTGTAACGAGAGTGAACTTTCTGCCGTACAGGTATTGGTAAAACTTACGTATCCCAAATATGATTGCATAGGCTTCTTTGTCCAGTTGTGAATAGCGCTGTTGTACTTTGTTCAGCGTTTGTGAAGCGAATTGTATCGGCCTTTCCGAACCATCGCCATACGTGTGACTCAATACTGCGCCGACTCCAATTGGGCTGGCATCAACGGCCAAGGTGACTGGTAACTTCGGATCATAATGTGTGAGTATGATGTCCGATTGCATATGTTTTTTAATTTCTTCGAATGCCTTCATACATTTGTTATCGAAAATGAACTCTACGCTGTTTTGCAGTAGCCGATTAATAGGGTATACTATGTCACTTAGATTTCGCACAAATCTGCCGTAATAATTCACGAGGCCCATAAAGGCTCTAACCTCCTCTCGATTAGTAGGCACTTTCATGTCTTGGATCGCCTGGATCTTACTTTTCATTCGCCGAATGCCCTCTTTGCTGATAATGTAGCCACAGTATTCTATGCTATCTTTGAAGAATTCAGATTTTTCGAGATTCACCCGCATGTTGCACCGATCGAGTCTGCTGAGGACTTCTTCAACGCGTCGTAGGTGCATACCATCGTCTGATGCCGTGATCTTAATATCGTCTAAAAAATACTGACACCCCGGGGATACCGCTTAGTAATTGTTCCATTACACGTTGCCATTTTGCCGGAGCGCTTGCGATTCCGTACATCATTCGAGTGGGTTCGTATAACCCCTTATGCGTGCTTAGTGTGAGTAAATGTCGGTCTTCCGGGTGGATTTCTAATTGCAAATATGCTGTGGACAAGTCAATTTTTGAAAACTTTTGCCCTCCAGCCATCTTGCTAAAAAGTTCATCCACTGTTGGCAAAGGATGCTCGTCGACTAGTAATACTGGATTAAGGGTTACCTTATAGTCGCCGCATATTCGTATATTGCCACCTTTCTTGTGTACTACAACGATCGGTGTGGCACACTCACTTGTTTCCACCTTCTTAAGAAGTCCCTCCGCAACTTGTTCGTCTAGTTGACGCTCTACGGCTTCCAATAAAGGAAAAGGCACTCGTCTGTGTTTAACGAATTTCGTTGTTGTATTTGGTTTTACGTACAGTCGAGCCTGTAAATCGCGAATTTTCCCCGTAGTTTTGGAAAACAAATTGGGATATCTTTTAAGCAAGTTTTCTATTTTGCACGTTTTGCTACTATCTTCAATTTGGTTAATACGCGACGCGGTGTACGTTTCACTGCTCAGTATATCGTTCCAGTCGACTTTTATTTCACGCAGCCATTCCCGGCCCAGAAGTGGTCTACGATCTGATCTCACGATATACAATTTTAGCATTTTATCACTCAACTTGTCCGCAACGCGTACCCAAATGTAACCTAAACATTCCAAAGGTGTGCCACAATAACTCACAAGCTGTATTTTAGCTTCTTTTAATTGCGATTTTGCGAAGTTTCTTTTGGCATCTTCCAAGTTGATTATCGAAACAGGGGACCCTGTGTCCACCTCAAACGAAATTTGCACATTATTCACTGACAGTTTACATTCGATCTTTCTACCTATGTTGTGCACTTCGCCATATATTTCCACTTTGAACAATTCTTCGACCAATGTGGTTTTGTCTTCGCTTATTTGGTTCACACGCTTCTTTTGCATTTTCTGTTTAAAGCACATTTTCTTAAGATGCCCTTTTTTATTACAAAAGTGACAGGTGAAATCTTTGTATTTGCATTTGTCTGCAAGGTGCGCGTTATTGCCACACCGAAAACATTTTTTTATATCTTCTTTCGGCTTCTCGTTTTTCTCTCTCTTCTCTGACTTTTTCTTTCCCAAAACTTTAATCACGCTCTCCTTGTCGTTCCCCCCTTATAACTCTTCACCTCCTTTTTCTGCCAATTCATATGCCGTAGCCATACTTATGGCCTCAGTAAGGCCCAATGACTTCTTTTTCAATAAATTACTTTGAATGTTCTTATCTAGCAAACCAAATACGAACTGATTTCGTAAAGCTTTTTCCAGGTGCGTACCAAAATTACAATTTACCGCCAATCGTCGCAATGTCACTGCAAACTCCGTACACGTTTCGCCTGCTTTTTGCTTGCGCATGTTAAAACGAAAATTTTCCAAAATTTCGTTAGGTGTTGGGTCGAAGTGCTCGTGTAGTATTTCTATTATTTGCTCGTATGTCTTCTCTTCTGGCTTCTGGGGCATGATCTTATCGCACAATAAGTTGTATGTGTCTGACCCCATAAGATGAAGAAGCAATTTTGCATGTTTGGTCTCCTCGCATTCGTATAATTCTAACGCGGTTTTGAAACGCTCAGCCCAACGTGACCAAGAAGTTTTATTCGCGTCGAAGGGCTCAAAATTAAAAAATGTAGTTGAAGCCATTGCTTTTACTTTACGTGCCGGAACGTGAGTCGTTTTCACTCGTCGCCAAAAAATTGTTATGTCCGAGTCATTTGAAGGTTATACTTCGACTGCTT